TAAGCCACGAATTTTTGATGTAGTTCGCTGGGTGGCAAAAGCTAACTAAGACAGAAATTGGTACTTAGAAGTGGGATGTGCCATAACAAAAACCTAAAACATGTGGCACTGGTTTTGGAGCAAAACAATTAGAAAACTGTTGGATGTGGTCACTTGGAAGATAGAACGTTTATCTAATAAACTTGTGGATCTAGTTTAGAAACTTTCCAGGAGATTGTTAATAATATATGGGCTGAAAGAGATGGACTAAAGAAATAACTTTTATTTACACGTAGAAAATAGAAGACATATAGAGGGCTCAGGACTTTCTAAATTAGAAAATAAACTTGTTTTTCATTTCAGTCTCTCTAGTTTGCAAAAGATTCTTGCGAAATCTAATTAAGAGTCTACTTTAAGACTCTTGTAAAGACCTCAGAAGGATTTGTGGTTGTTCCTAGTAGATTATCTCAGCTCAACAAAATAACTTCTAAAGATCTTGAGGCATTAACTCACAACATCCTAATATACTGCCCAAAGAAGAAAGGATGCTGCATCAAAAAGAATGTGTGTGTGCCATTTGTCTGTTGAAATGGATGACTCCCTGATACATAGAAAACCCACAAAATATTAAAGGAGGCTGTATAAGCTTGCATTAAAAGAGACTAAGACAAAATTTCTTAGGGCAGGAAGCAGGATGAGAAAAGCTCTTTATCCGTAAACAAGGGCTATTTCTGATGGTCATATGCACATGACTGTATTCCTGAATTGCTGTACCAATGGCTCCCATGTGCTCCCTATTTCGCCTTTTTGAATGGGGTGTCTATTATGATTATCCTCTTGCCATCTCACCATTGTATATTGGGTATAGGAGAGGATGGAGATAAACTTGTCTGTTTAGTTCACAGATTTCTGGATTAAGAGGGGCCACATGCAAGGAGCTATAACAAAAGATCCTTATCCATACCTGGACCAAATGCACTTCTTGAGATCCTGGACATTCAGTTTGTTGATATGATTGGATGAAACTTTTGGGAAGTCTTGCGATGGGGTGAATTCACCTGGCATATAGGAGAAACAGATATACTTATAGCTAACAGATGACTGTAGTAAATTAAATATGGCCACAGATTCTTTACAGCTTGACCCATTAAAAAGAGGGAGTAGGTTTCTCCATTTTTTGAGTTATAGCTGACTCATGACTTGGTTTGACCAACAGAATGTGGCAGAAGTGATAATATTCAAGCCGTGAACCTAGACCACTGGAGGCCTTGCAGCCTCTGCACTTGTTCTCGTAGAACTTGTACACTTTGTGAATAAGCCTGCCTGCTTTTTCCAATGAAGAGAAAGATCTAGCCACCCCAGACTTGCTAGCTGTCCCAGCTGAGGCACCAGATATAGGAGCAAGCTCAGTAGACACTACGTAGGGTAGTGATGAGATGTCTAAGCTGAGCCCAACCCAAAGTGCCAACCAAAGGATAAGTGAATAAATGATTATTTTAAGCCATAAAGTTTTGGGTGGTTTGTTACCTAGCAAAATCTAGTTAAAACTCACCTACATTTGCACATCTTTCATATATAGGTATTCTGTCTTTCTACTGAGATTGTAAAAACCTTGAAGGACGTTACCTTTTCTTAAAATAGTTTTTGTGACTTCTGCAACATTTAGCACAGGACTGGGGACAGAACATTGCTTTATGAATGCTTTTGATATGCCTAAAATTCTCCTTCCTTTGTTTGAAAATACAGAGTTTGAAAAGTAAAAGAGTTTCAGAAGAAAAGTTTAGGTTAGCTTGGGCATATCATAGTATCTTGTTTACCCTTACCCTTCCCTGAAATTTTTTTTAACTAGGGAAGAAGTTTGGTCTTCAGGATCAGAGATAGCTGGATTTTAAAATTTGTTTCTCTGTTAGACTCTTAGGGAGTGGCAAATAAGTGCCCATTGGCTAGACACGGTGGCTTGTGCCTTTAATCTCAGCATTTGTGAAGCCTAGGCAGGCGGACCACTTGAGGCCAGGAGTTTGAGACCAGCCAGGCCAATATGGTTAAGCCCTGTCTCTACTAAAAAATACAAAAAAAAAAAAGAAAAGAAAAAAATTAGGCACAGTGCCTCACACCTGTAATCCCAGCTACCCAGAAGGCTGAGGCACGAATCACTTGAACCTGGGAGGCAGAGATTGCAGTGAGCTGAGATTGTACCACTGCACTCCAGCCTGGGCAACAGAGCGAGACTCTGTCTCAGTGGGAAAAAAAAGTACTATGCAGCCATAAAAATCGATGAGTTCGTGTCCTTGGTAGGGACATGGATGAATCTGGAAACCATCATTCTCAGCAAACTGACACAAGAACAGAAAATCAAACACCGCATGTTCTCACTCATAGGTGGGTGTTGAACAATGAGAACACATGGACACAGGGAGGGGAGCATCGCACACTGGGGTCTGTTGAGGGGGACTAGGGGAGGGACAGCGGAGGGTAGGGAGGTTGGGGAGGGATAACGTGGGGAGAAATGCCAGATATAGGTGATTGGGGGATGGAGGCAGCAAACCACATTGCCATATGTGTACCTATACAACAATCCTTCGTGTTTTGCATATGTACCCCAGAACCTAAAGTGCAATAAAAAATATATATTAAAAAAGGTGCTTAGTACATAAAGAAGCAAAAATTACTAATAATATATTATTTTTATATAAATATAACAGTAATAATAATAGATAAAATGAGAACCAAAAGTTTTTTGAAAAGGGGAGTATTGACTCCAACTCTGAACCTTACAGTCAGTGCCTATGTCCATCACTGGATCTAATAACCAAATAACTAAAATAACCAGATAAGTCAAAAGCACGCCAGTGAGAGAACAATGGCCTGGAATCATCTTGCTTTCTTCCTGATCTGATTCTACTTTGCTCCTCTTTTATCCCAGATCCTGATCTCTGGCTTCATTTCCCATTTGCAACTGACTCTGTCCCTTGGAACTTAGCATTGCTATTAAGTTTTCCTGGCTTGGACCATTAGCAATCTGTACAGATAGTGGCTTATTTGGATCTTTCAGTCAGAGCTGCCTTAGATGGATACCCTGCCCTAATTCAGCTCCCCATAGACTGACCACCTATCCCAGATTTCTCCCAATGAAGAAGAGTTCAGACTGCCAGTAGTTTTCACAGACAAAATAATGGGGTAATGGCAAAGAGGGAATGAGACAGATTAGGGAGAGAACAGAAAGGCCCTGATCACATCTGTCAACTATGACAGGGGACCACCTGGTTTACTTAGGACCTCAGAAAAATTCTCCCATGGGAAAATTCTTGATGCTGGAATGGTATGCAATCATAAGAGAACTTTTTTTTTTTTTTTTTTTTTTTTTTAAGACGGAGTCTCACTCTATTGCCCAGGCTGGAGTGCAGTGGCATGATCTTGGCTCACTGCAACCTCCACCTCCCAGGTTCAAGTGATTCTCCTGCCTCAGCCTACCAAGTAGCTGGGACTACAGGGATGCGCCACCACACCTGGCTAATTTTTGTATTTTTAGTAGAGATGGGGTTTCACCATGTTGGCCAGGTTGGTCTCAAACTTCTGACCTCAGGTGATTCACCCACCTCAGCCTCCCAAAGTGCTGGGACTACAGGCATGAGCCACTGAGCCTGGCTGTACTCTTCCAAATCTTTCTAACTCCTCCCCAAGGGCTGTTCAAGCTCTCAAGGAAGACATGTTCTCTCCAGGTCTCTCTTGTTTATTGTGGGAGGGTGCCCTCCAGTGATGCTGCAAGAAATGAGCTGATGGGTAGGTGATTTTATGCATTTCTTGTGCTGTTGGGTCTAAGAGATAGTTGGTTCAAGTCAAGGCTGACCAACCAGATGAAAGGAAAGAAAATATTCTGATATTTAAATGCTGAAAGTGTAATAATTTCCTTGTGAAATGATTATACGACATATGTAATGTATACTGTATAGATTTGGACTTGCTGAAATTTAGAGAGGTGGGTCTCAGGCTGTGTACAGCCGGAGCAGCAAGTGTCTGCAGAGCTGTGTTGAGGGCACCTGCACCTACACCCAGCAGACAGCTCTGCGTCAATCTGCTTAAATGTGGGCTATGTATAAAAGGTTTCTGTAAAAGGATTCTGCTGGCTTGGAGAATCCAGTGGAAGGCTTTAGATATTAAGTTCACATCCCTTTCATTTTTCCAGCCTAGTACGAGAGCTCACTATAAGAACTTGCTCAGTAAATGTTTGTTGACCAACTGCCTGAATATATCTCCACACTTTATAATGGCAAGTTGCTTTAAAGGCCATGGAATGACTTTTAATTTTGCAATAATGTGACTTGTTCCCTTTATGTTTCTTTGAAGAGGCACACATGAATCTCTAAAGTGATAATTACTAAACATGTGGGTGGGCAAAGTTAGTGAATGACAATACTGCCTTTCTATGTATGAGGCCTCATTAATACTTCAACATTCATCTAAAAAGAGAAGGGTGTGTGTCCCATCAATTCCCTTGCCTCCCATTATGTTCGTGCTTGATTACTGCAGGTGTGCAAAAGCCTTTTCCGTGTGAAGCCACATGCCTCTGCCTACGAGCTTGGGGTTTGGGAGTACATTTATCAAATGCATGCCAGCTCCTGCAAACTCCCTGAGAAAATTGTAGAACACCTGCATACTAATGGTTTTTATTGTTGGAATTATTTTATTGCACAATCAAAAACCTACAATCATATCATAGAAACATACTACATGACTCCAAGTACAGAAACAGGCTGTGAACTTCACTGCCGACACTTTATTTCTTGTAATTAAACTTTTACTTTTATTTCACCTATTTTATCCCATAAACAGGGAAAGAAAATAAAACATATGGAGTAAACTGCAGGATGTTGTGGTTTATTCCATGTTTTGGTATTTTTAGCTGCTCCCAATGAACCTACAGGTCTGAAGTTTCTATCCGAAGTGTATTAAAAATAAATTCATTAGCTAAGGAATATTAAAAAGTTGGCCATATATTTGGGTTGGATTTTCTTGTTTTGTAGGAAGCAACAGCCCTCAATTGCCTGCATTTTCTTTCCTCTTCAAAACCACTTCTGCTCCAAAGACCATGAACCTGAACTGAAGAAACGACTCTTTCCTGCTGGCATGAGATAATTCAGTCTCCATGATGTCTTAATCCTGGGCCTCCCTTAATTGACTTCTAACTGTGCCGAACTGTGGCTGTGAGGAGTTGCAATGTGGATTGCAATTTACAAGGCACTGGAATCGTTTCTTGTCTTCAAATTAGTCCTGAGCTGTACTCGAGAAAGAAAAAAAAGAGGGGGGGCGACCTTTACTCTTCTTGCTGTCTTGCCACCTCAAGTGAGACTTTCTTACCATCTCAGAATGGATGATTGCCTTTTAACAATTTAGTTAGGGACAGAAAGGAAAAAGAGGGTTGCCAATACTTCGTCAATTTTGTCTTAATAAAGTTGCCTCACATGGCCTATCTTGTCCTGGGGAATGAAGAACTCCTAATGGTTTTAGGCTGTCATGATGGAGTAGTCATTATTTTGAAACCCTGTTCTGTGGGAAATCCAAGATAGAGCAAGGGTCACTGCTTTTTCTTTCTCCGTGGATATCTATAGGATGTATTTAGTAATTAAGAAGCGTTCTAGTTTTAAGCAGCAGGAAAAAAAAAAAAAAGGAAAGGAGTTATTTCTTTTATGGCCTTTTATAGCTACTTAATATCTATTTCTACTTCTCCTCCCTAATTTCTTCCTTTCCATCTTGGAACCCTAAGTTAGAAAGTTGTGGTACACATACACCTTCCCACCAGTTGGTATAGGCACTCTGTTAGACCCTGGGGGTAAATGTGATGTGGTTAGCACCCTCAAAGGAAAGATACACATATAAATGATAATGATGATGCAACCTAGGAAGGTATACACGGGAGATGTTTATGGGAGCATGGAGGAGGGACACCTATCAGAGGCTGGGGAAAACAGAATGGAGGAGGCGGAAACCGAATGGGCTCTTTAAGAATGATTCTGAATCAACCAGAAGTATGTGAAAATGGGATTTTTAGGCAGAGGGAATAGATGAGAAATGCTTAGAACCACATCCTCTTCTATGTCAGAGCAACTCAGAGAGTGAGGTGGAGGAGTTGGGGAAGCGCATCAGGCTAGAGGGGGTAAGCAGGGATCAGCTACAAGTGGCCTTACATGCCATGCCAATGAGCTTGGACTTCAGCAAGTAGATGGGGAGGCCCTTAAGCAGGGAATGGAACTGATCAGATTTGTGCTTTATATATGTCCTTCTGGCAGCTGTGTCCAGAATGGATTTGAGCAGAGGAGGCCTAAAGCTAGAAGTTAGATTGGAGGCTGGTGCAGTTGTCTGGGACAGAACTCTGAATAACGGAAGTGAGAGCAAGATAGAGAGGAGCTAGGGCTGAGAAATAACTAATAAGTTGAAAACTGGAGGGACTTGGATGGAGTGCATAGAAGGTGACTTAGAGGTTCATTAAGCCTACAGAATTGCCACAGCAGATAATCTGGCTTCAAAGAGAATGGATCTTCTATTCGAGACCTGAAGATCCTTGATTGTGCAAGGTAGACTGAACACCTATCACTGTAGTGAGGCTGGTATTTTAGTGAACCAGGCATTATGGGTGGGAATTTGGGTATGAAATCAGTTCTTATAAGAATTCCATAAAGTCTGGCCCTTCTCATTCTTTGGACCCTTAAGACATCTGTAGGGTAACTCTCCTAGACAACTAAGGATGAATAGGACTGGGATGGTTGGAGCCATTTTTTGTTTTTTTTTTTAGAGAGAGTCTCACTCTGTTGCCCAGACTGGAGTGCAGTGGTGCAATCTTGGCTCACCAAAACCTCCGCCTCCTGGGTTCAAGCAACTCTCCTGCCTCAGCCTCCTGAGTAGCTGGGATTACAGGCAAGTGCCACCACACCCAGCTAATTTTTGTATTTGTAGTAAAGATGGGGTTTCACCATGTTGGTCAGACTGGTCTCAAACTTATGACCTTGTGATCTGCCTGCCTTGGCCTCGCAAAGTGCTGGGATTACAGGCTTGAGCCACCGTGTCTGGCCTGCTTTTTTTTTTTTTTTTTTTTTTTTTTTTTTTTTTTTTTTTTCTTTTTTTTTTTTTTTTCTGTGAGATGAATTTTCACTCTTGTTGCCCAGGCTGGAGTGCAATGGTGTGGCCTCAGCTCACTGCAACCTCCACCTCCTGGGTTCAAGGGATCCTCCTGTCTCAGCCTCGCAAGCAGCTGGTATTACAGGTGCCTGCCACCACGCCCGGCTAATTTTTGTATTTTTAGCAGAGATGGAGTCTCACTGTGTTGGCCAGGCTGGTCTCAGACTCCTGACCTCAGGTGATCCACCCATCTCAGCCTCCCAAAGTGCTGGGATTACAGGCATGAGCCATGGTGCCCAGCTGGTGCTGTTTCTTGGCTATGAAGTCTAGGATTTCCATTTCTAAGTGTTCCCTAATTGAGAGACAGTCTTTTGTCAGGGGAATGCCATTTGGCCCCAGAATGATTCCTCAGAACTTCCAGGAGAAAGCCAGTACCCTAGGCTGTGTACAGGAGGGCCCTGGCTAGTCTGTCCCCATGTCCTTTACTCTTGTCTCCTGCTACTCCACGCATGCGCCCTTTCTCCATGCTGCCCTATGGAATAATTCATGGACGTTTTCAAATATTATTCTTACCTCTGAAATTTTCTCCCATGATTTTTCATCAAAATATATTTTATGGCTGATTGTGGTGGCCCACACCTATACTCCCAGCACTTTAGGGGGGCCAAGGTGGGTGGATCATTTGAGGTCAGGAGTTCAAGACCAGTTTGGCCAACATGGTGAAAACTTGTCTCCACTAAAAATACAAAAATTAGCTGGTGGTAGTAGTGCATGCCCATAATCCCAAGTACTCAGGAGGCTGAGGCAGGAGAATTGCTTGAGCCTGGAAAGCAGAGGTTGTGGTGAGCCGAGATCTCGTCCCTGCTCTTCAGTCTGGGCAACAGAGCGAGACCCGGTCTCAAAAACAAAACAAAACAAAAACCTTCTATGCACCTTTAAAAAGCGTCTTATTCTTCAGGAATATTTCACAAGTCCCAGGTCTGATTTATGTCTGTGTTTTCCAGCTGAGCCTGTCCACACCCCACTCGTGCACTTACCACACTGCTGTGTTTTCTGTAGTTTTCCTGTCAGTCTTGTTAGACGGTAAGACCTTTAAGGGAAAGAAATTCACTAGAGCATTTGTGCGTGTGCATGCATTCTCACTGGCTAGCACAGTGCTTAGCCAACAACTTTGAATGAATGTTGGTAGATACATCTCTTGTCCTATAGCAGGCTCAGAATTGTGAGAATTTATAAATCATGAGTATGACTTAAAACTCTCAGGAATAAAAATTTCCTAGAAAAAAATAAAGCATGTGACAATACTTTAAAAAATGTAAAGAGAATTGAATGAAGTATATTACCATATTATACAATGTAAGTAAGTATAAGAACATTATATTATTATTGTAATGGATGCTGTGTTCATCCACGTGTTTATTTAGCTAATACCTATTTGGCAAAAACTGAGCAAAGCACATGTAGAACAGGTAGGGCATGTTTAGGAGACTTACCTGATTGAGTTCAGATCTTGGAAGACTGGAAGTTCAGGTACAATGTTGAGTGGTTTACTGACCTCTGTATGTTGTAGAGTGGCTAGCTGTGATTGTGGTGTTTAGTAGAAGATCTGAGCTCTAATTAGCTGATTGGCCTTGAGTAAAATCACTTTCAGAGCTTCAGTAGCTTCTTCTGTAAAGCCTGGATAATGTTAAAAACCTCCAGTATTGCAGAGTTATTGTGCTATTCAGTAAATGACAGGATCTAATGTGAATACTCACATGTGTGCCTGGCACCAGGCTTGGCTGCATCGGTGTGAGACCCATGCAGCTGCACAGGGCCTTGCCTTCCTCTAATGCTCTGCCTTTGCCATCCTGGAATTCTTCATGATTATTGAACAAGGTACCTCACATTTTCATTTCACTCTGGGGCCCTTAAATTATGTAGCCAGTTCTGCCTGACACACAGTAGGCACACAATAGTGCTCACAGGAGAGCCCTGAATTCTCACCTTGGCATTAGAAGGGAACCCGAGGAGCTACTTCCAGTGAGTGTTGTGTTCTGATGATGTCTTCATTTTGCTTTTCTGCAGAAGGTAAGCGGTGCCTCCTCCTATTCCCACATCTGCTTCCTGTGGAGTACATAGATTTTCAATTCTGCCATCCACTTTCTCTCATTTATTTAGAAATGCCATACTGCGATCATTCTTTTATCTTAACTACTACTTTTATCCCCCACCTGCCCCCTCTTCCTACCAAGATAAACACATTGGCCACCAGCTGTACATAAAATCAAAACGCAAATTCCTTTTTGATTCCACCAAGGTTTGAGTTGCAGTTTTTTTTTTGTGGTGTTAAAATACTTTTCAAAAATGTAAATTTTTTTAAAAAAGAAAAAACCAAGTCACTGAGATAATTTGATTTTGGCTTCTACCATGTAACTTTAAGATTTAAGTATCTTTGTTGGTCCTAAATTGACTATGAGTTTTGCTCTGATGAAAATTACTTGTGCCAGAAAGCTACAGTAGGTTGAAACATTCTGCCACAGTAATCCCTATGGATTAGAGCATATTGAAGCACAACCATGGGAAATAGAATGATTCTTTTAAACCACTGAGCCAACAAATAAGGTCATTTGATGCTGAGAGACTGTGATCATCCATGAAGGAGCTAGTTCACCAGAAACATTAAGCTGGTTTGGGTGGACCCATATGTTGGTGGTTAAAACACTGGGGCTTCTTTTTCCATCAATCCTCCTTTGGTTTTTTATCCTTCCAAGTTCCAAGTTACAAGATCACAAGCTTACCAAATAACAAAACAAGGTGGTTGTATCCACACCCGCCTAGAGCTAAGTCAAGTTTTTGTACAGAGTCTGTTGCCTTTCAGCTTTCTGTTTAAATGTCTTAACATGGCAATGTGTTAGGCATTCTAAAGGGGAAATTTCCAGGTGTTATGTCTAAATGACAATTCAGAGATATTTACTTTATATTCCCCTAAACAGTCTGAGAGGGAAAACTGAAGGAAAGAAAACTGGAAAAAACAAAACCGGTTGGAATCATGCCTGGCTTGTTTACTTTAGGAAATCTCTTAACACTCATTTTAATCAATTGAAAAGAGATGGTTCATCAGATCATAGAATTTTAGAGCTGAAAGGAGCCTTAGAGATTATCTCATCTGATTCTCTCATTTTATGGATGGGGAAACTGGGGTGCAGTGATGGGGAAAGGCCTTCCTAGTGTTCCTTGGCTAATTAGCAG